GGAGGAAAGTTAATCAACTTTTGGATAAAATAAAAAAGATAATGTTTCAAATTTTGAAAAAATGTGAAAAAAGATCAAATCAAAAAAGAGATAATGAGAAAGACAGAAAAATGAAAGTGATTTAATTCCAAGTAAATACGCAGAATAATGATTATCTAACAATCTCGTATAAAAAAAACTTATCACGTGACTTTTCTAGAGAGAAGGTAGACCTTATCTCTCTAAAAAAGCCTTCTCATGTTCCCCTTGCTCTCCTCCACTGGTTGTAGTGGCTTTTCCTTCCAAATTCTTCTGGCTTTTCAACCCATCTATCGATTGGGTTTTTTCTCTTGTTTCCTTCTAGCTACTAGTATTGTTTCTCTCACAATAGGCAATTCTTTCATTAAGAATGGATAAATCGAAAGTTTTTACCCTCTCAAAGGAAGAAGAAGAAGGGGTAGTCGTTGATGAAGAAGAAATCGTTGAAGATGAATCTATACAGAGAACACTCATGGGTAAACGGTGGACTAAATGTAGCTTCAACATCAGAGCCTTTAAGACCATAATGTTGAATGCTTGGAAGCTGAAATTTTTTGTGGAAGTTCGTGATCTGAGTAAAAACCTTTTTCTTTTCAAGTTTGGCTCAAAGAGAGATATGGAATATGTTCTTAAGTCTGGTCAATGGAGTTTCGATAGAGCGTTGTTGGTGTTAAACCGTATATCCGGGGAGGAACAACCTTCAGATTTAAACATGCACTTCAGTTCCTTCTGTGTAAGAATATACAATTTGCCTCTTATGCTCAAATCTGAAACAATGGAGAAAAAGTTGGGGAATATTATTGGATCTTTTAAAGAAATGGATGTCAAAGAAACACACAGAAATGGAAGTTTTTTGCGTATCAAAGTTTTGATAGATCTGAAGGAACCTTTGAAACGTGGGACGATGGTGACTTTCAAAGAGAGGGAGATTAGGGTCCACTTTAAGTACAAAAGATTGCCGACGTTTTGCTTTGTTTGTGGAAGAATGGGACACCAGATTAAAGATTGTAAGGCAGTTGAGGATTTGAATGAAGAAGGTTTCGAGGAGTTGGAGAAGCAAGACCTTGCCTTTGGGCAGTGGCTTCGTGCGTCCCCTCTTCCTAAATTGATGGATGATTTAAAAGAGAGACTCAAGCTCTAGTTTGTGTAGCAGAGAACTCTTAAATGTCTCATCTAGTCAAGCCGATGGATGTGAACCAAAAGGGAAAGACAAGGGTTAAGATCATGAGGTCTAGCAAGGCATCATGAATCTAACTCATTACAAAGGATGTGACCAGCGATGAGAGGAAACTAATCCTAATTCAGTGGATGTGGAATCGGTAGCCAAATCTCTTGGAGCAGTAGCATTGACAACAAATAAAGTTCCCCAGAAGGAAATTTCTACTAGTGAAGGGGTACAGAAAATGAAATGGACTAGAAGGAAGATAACTAAAAGTGTTAAGACTGCTACCGGAATTTCGCCCAAGCCAAAAACAACCAAGCGACACCTCGTTGATGTTATGATTGTTGAAGGTAACTTAGACGAGTGTGGTGTTGGTGAAAAGAAAAGGAAACAAGCTGGAGAAGTAAGTGGAGCTCTTAACAATGGACCAGAGGTGGTGTTGGCGGACCAACACTGCCTTCCCCAATGAAAACAATAAGTTGGAACTACAGGGGTCTGGGGAGCCATCGTGCAGTTCGAGGCCTTGCGAGGCTTCTCAGAACTGAAAATCCTCAACTTGTCTTTTTAATGGAGACAAGGCTTAAGAAAGATGAGATGATGAAATTAAAGAGGAAATTTAAATTTAGTGTTGATTTATCTATTGACTGTAGGGGCTCGGGGAGAGATAGAGTTAGAGGGTTGTGTTTATGGTGGAATGAGGGGACTGAAATTAACATTCACTCATTTTCTCGGGATTATATTGCTGGGAGCTGCCAACGGGATGACGATGACTCATGGTCCTTTGCTTGTATCTATAGCTATTCGGGTGAGGCAAGGAAAAAAGAGACTTGGAACCTAATTCGAGCTTTGCGGGAAGAGGGTGGAAATCAAATGATTTTCTTTGGCGATCTTAACGATATTCTGTTCGATTCGGACAAATATGGTGGCATCATCAGGACAGCTTCTCAATTAAATTAGGGAAGAAGTATCATGGATGTGTGTGGCCTCCAAGAAGTGGGCTTTGAGGGGTACCCCTTTACCTGAACCAATGGTAGACCGGGGGATCAAAATGTTCAATGCAGATTTGACAGAAGCTTGTATTCTTATGATTTTGTGCAACGTTTTCCTCTCACCAAAGTGGTTCATCTGTAGAGATTTGGATCTGATCATGTTGCACTCTGCATCCTCATTCAATCATAAATGGATCCTGAAAAAAGGATATACATGTTTCATTTTGAAGAGGCTTGGTCTAAGGAAGCAATCTATGGAGATGTTGTGCGACAATTATGGCGTAGAAACCCTGATTCTATTCACCATCAAGTTAAGGTCGTGGAAGATCTGCAGCATTATTTCAAAGATTTATGTACCAATTGTATAAAGAAGGAAATTGGGAGGTTAGAGAACCTGATTAAAGAAGACGGGAGATGGTCAGGTGATGTGAGGGAAATTCAATAGTATAAAGCGATTGGGCGCCAAAGGAATAGGCTTCTGAAAACAGAGGAAACGCTTTGGAGACAGCGCAACCGTGCAGTGTGGCTCAAAGACGGTGATAAGAAGACTAAATTTTTCCACTGTAAAGTTGATCAAAGGAGGAGGACCAACTCGATCAAAAGGATGAAGGATGGGATGGGGAATTGGAAAAAGGGTCGTACAAGTTGTGAAAGGATTTTGACTAATTATTTTGAAGAGGTTTTTACATCATTTAATCATAACAATATTTCGGAGGTTTGTGGTTTCATTCGAGGGATACTTTCAGATAATAAACTGCTCTGTGATAGCCAATTTTCGACTGAGGAGGTTAGAGACGAAATCTTTCAAATGCATCCAACTAAATCTCCTGGCCCTGATGGGCCCCCAGCCCTTTTCTTCCATAAATACTAGCCTACGGTTGGTAACGAGGTGACACTTAATGCTCTGGATATCCTTAACAATAACGCGGATCATACTGCCATAAATAATACCTTCATCGCCATCATTCCTAAAAAGAAGAAACATGCATCCGCAATGGACTTCAGACCTATTAGTCTGTGTAATGTTATTATTAAGGCAGTTACAAAGTCAACTGCCAATAGGTTGAAGACTTTTCTTCCAGAGGTTATTACTCAAGAACAAAGTGCATTTATTCGGGGAAGACTCATAACTGATAACGCGCTCATTGCAAAGGAGTGCTTCCACTGAATGAAACACAAAAAGAATGGTAGAAAGGGCATTATGACGCTGAAGTTAGACATGTCTAAGGCTTATGATAGATTGGAGTGAAATTTTGTGTCAAAAACTTTGAAAAAAAGGGAATTTCCCCCCACATTGGTCTCTTTGATTCACAGATGCATATCTACATACTCCTATCAATTGCTTATTAACGGCCAACCAAGCAAGCGGTTCTTCCCAAATAGGGATCTCCGCCAAGGAGACCCACTCTCACCCTATTTATTTGTTATTTGTGCAAATGTTCTCTCTAGGATGATAAGAAGTGATGTGGTCGACAATAAGATTCATGGCACCAAAGTGGCGCGAAAGTCTCCTATCATTTCTCATATTTTCTTTGCAGACAATAGTCTTCTTTTTGCTAGAGCTAGTAAGGAGGAGGTTGGCCGAATTCACCATATTCTCAAGCTTTATCAAGATGCATCGGGTTAGGTGGTGAATGCCAACAAATCTGAGCTTTCCTTTAGTAATAATATGGGGGAGGCTGCTATAGGTAGAATCAAGGCCAAGTTAGGTTTTCGTGGGGTAAATACTCATTCGCATTATTTAGGGCTTCTGATTGTTTTTGGAAAGTCTAAGAAGGAAGAGTTCAAACTTGTTGTTGAGAGGGTTTGGAAGAAGGTTAAGGGGTGGAAGGAGAATTTTCTTTCTAAGGCTGGTAAAGAAGTTTTGATCAAAGCAGTTGCATAAGCAATCCCAACGTATATCATGAGTTGCTAACGAATCCCAAAGAGTTGCTGTAAAGAAATCGAAGATATGATCGCTAAGTTTTGGTGAGGATCTAAAGAAGGAGAGCGGAAGTTTTGGTTGGTTCAAAAAGAGATGGAGGTATTGGTTTTAGAGGCATTTGAGATTTTAACACCAGTCTGTTGGGTAAGCAATTCTGGCGGCTGTTACAGGCAGATGGTTCCCTAATGGAGAGATTTTTCAAAAGGCGATACTACCCTCAGTGTTCAATTGTTGATGCTCAATGGAGTTTCAATCCTAGCTTTGCATGGCGAATTTTGAGTTCTAATGATGTTCTAAATGGCTCTAGATGGCAAATTGAAAATGGAGAAAAGGTTAGTAAGTATAGGGGTGATTGATGGATTCCAACTCTTCTGGGTTTCCAAATTGTGGCTCCAGCTAATATCCTTACCCCTATCGCAAAGGTGGCTTATCGGAAAAATAGACACCCTTAGAGAAAACTTTTATGTTATTGATGCTAACCATATCAACAACATACCCCCTTTTTTTTATCTTCCCGAGGATAAACTAATTTTACACCATGAATCTAATGGTAATTATTCGGTTAAAATGGCCTATCATTGGCTAGGGGAACAAAGGCATAATTCAATCCAAGACCCTCTCCAAGGGTAAGCCGATAATCTATCATCTTTGGAAATTAAAGGTAATTATGCCTATGAAAATTAGTCTCCTTAGGAGTTCCTACTTCTGATTGTATTGAGGACAGATTTTGCAACATTTTTTCTAAGAAAGACACAAAATTGGGGCAAGTTAGCGATTAGTTACTGGAAAATTTGGCAGTTGTTGAATTCTGTTGTTTTCAAGGCTGTTAAAGCAGCCTAAGGGCAGTTGCTGCTAAAATCTAGAGTTCAATTATTAAGGAAACTAAAAGACTGTTCTTATTCAAATCATGGGGATCACAACAAAGATGGATAATCAATTAGGGTGGATGTCGGAAAAAAATGTTGGTTACTTCGAGGAAGGAATTATCTTGCACAACTGCATAATAAAGGATCTCTCTTGTAATACTTTCTTGGCTACTACTAGGAAACTCAATAGCATGATGAATGCTCCTTCTGCGGATATGTTGGCAATTCACTGGTCACTGCAGGTTGCAAAAGTTGGAACCAATTGGTAGTGATTATAGATCTCTTATTTCTAGTATTTTAATGTTTTTATCATGTTTATTAATAGAGATCTGAATATTGATACTCACAATTTGGTTGGTATTGATGCTCACAATTTTGTTCTGGCATTGCAATTTGTTGATACTCACAATTTGGTTGGTATTGATGCTCACAATTTTGTTCTGGCATTGCAATTTGTAATTCTGCTATTTCTTCTTTAAGAAACAAGTTTGCCATCAAAAAAAAACTTACCAACTATGTTAAATCAGAATTGAATCCTTTAATATTCATCTCTCCAACTTTCATAAATTTTATCTATCTCCCTTGTTTATTCTTCAAATTCTTTCTCTCCAAAATAAATCACAATATGTTTCATCCAAATTAAAAAATTTGTCTAAACCTACTATGTCTCTTTCAAAAATTAGAGAACTACTTAAAATTGAATCCCTTACTATATTTAAAAAACTAATTTAGATAATCCCATATTATATTTTAAAAACTAATTTAGAAAATCCCCTACTTAAATTTAAAAACAAAGTATCCCTGACTATATTTAAAAAACTAAATCTGACAACTACTTAAATTTTATAATTACAAAATGGACTCTATAAAATTCTCAACAACAATGAAAATCATAATCTAAAGCAAAAATCATTATATCATTATTTTAAAGTTGAGATCGGCATACACAATTGACTAAACGGCCAATACCAAGGGAGACGCAAATTCTGCAACCTTATATAAATCTATATTCAAATGTATACCAATGTTCTGCCCCAGTTATAATTTACTTGTCCAGACATAAAGACAAACAAAAGAGAAAAAAACCGAAACAAATTTATTTTGCACCATGCTCGTATAATCTGACAAAGTAGTCTACATCAGACTAAGAATTTAGGTGCGTGCTTCCATTGATAAAAAACTATGAAATAAACCTAGAGATTTTGTTATAAAAAACAGATCTTGAAACCCTAAAATTAACAAAAACAAATAAAAGGTAATACTTTATTATGCAAAGCAATCAGAGAACTTTGAAGGCATGTATGAAACAAGATTCAACATCAGTTTCAGACAAAATATTCTTCATCATTTCGCTTGGACTATAGTACTTTTATAACTAATTCAATGTCATAATATAGCAATTAAATATAAAAATTGCATGATGGGTTATGAAAAACTCAGATCTACACCCAAAAACACGAATTTAAATTGCTAAATTTTGCACCCTTAAAACCTTCTCGTAATTTCCTTGCAACTGAACTTGAAGTTGCAAGGGGCTACGTGGTGCGTAATGATTATGATTGTTTCTGAAATTAAAACAAAGGAATGGAAGAAGAAATTACCAGAGGAGTAATTGAGAGGCGGCTAAACGCTAGTTCTGTGGTTTAGTTGGCATAGCCAACATCTTCTTATATAAGAGCACTCGTGCCAATTAGGGTTTCTTTTGTTTCTTTCTTCATTCTTTTTTATTTTTTATTTTTATAGATCTATATACCTCTACGGTTGACCCTTTTAAAAAATTTACTCAAAGACACTATTTTTAATTTTGCTTTCATTTTTTTTTGTTTTAAAAATGTTGAAAAATATTTTAATATAAAAAAAAGTAAAGGGTAAATTTGAAATAGTAATTTTTTTAAATCGAAAATGAAAATTTATTAATTTTGATAATTGAGCTTATTTACATCCTTGTTTTTCATATTAAGTCTAGATATATTGTTGATCCATGTAATACGGTGGAAGAATTGACTTTTTTGGTTTTATTTAAATATGTGGATAGTAAGAGTCGCTACCGACTTTTCTTTTATCCAATATTTAGGAAAGATGAAAAGAACATAAAAGACATTTGTAGACTTTAAGTTCATGGGTAAGTTATGAAAAGGAATGGTGTTAGCACCCTTTTCATCTGTAGTTATCTACGGGCTCTTAATTGTTAGTTCACTTTTGAAAACCTTGCTTTGTGTGTGTGATTTGAAAATATTTTGAAATCGTCAATGTAAGGCTGACTTTGTAATGATTATTGTATCAATCCTCAAGAATGCGTACAAAGTGTTTTTGAAAATATTTGTTTGAAAAGTAGTGTGAAAAATGTATTGTCTGTGAGAAAAGTTTGTGAGCAAACAATTAAGAGTTCCTTATCCACTAAAGTCTTTCTTATTCTTTTCCTTCTCTTTTAGAGATAATGTTATCCATACCATTAGTTCGTAGGTAGTCTTATCCATTGGATGTAAAGAGACAGACGAAGGGTCATCGAATGGTCATTAAAGGCAACATGTAGGAATACTTTAGCAACTTGTATCGAAGGGACTAGATCATTTTTTGTAGTCAACTTCGAAGGGTCATCGATGGACTATGATCTTTATTCGTAAGGGTCTTTTGCTAAAGTATCCCTACTTTCGAGGGACATGACCATTATTTCTGAAGACAACAAAGAGAGGTTGCCCTAGAGGTGCAAAGTGTGAATGGTGTGTTCAGTTCAATTACTTATCTTGTATTAGAGTTATCTATCGATTGTTTTTAGATCTTGTCATACATGTCTAGTTATTAGCAGTTGAATATATACAAAAAATAAAGGTGCGGAAAGTAAAGACCTAAGCTATTACAGGGCTTTGTGGCAATTACATAAAAAATGCGGGAAAGTAAAATGCGGAATAGTAAAATGCGGAGTTTAAACTTAAACTACTACATCCTGTGAGCAGTTACATAATAGAAAAAATACGGAAAGATAAATCTAAGTTATTACAAGAAAAAGTCGTGCGACCTATACAATTTCTCTAAGAAAATAAATAGCAAAAGAAAATAAAAAAATAATTTGTTTATGTTTTTTTAGAAAATAATTTGAAGTTAATTAAATAGTTAAAATCCTAAGTCTAATTAGTTTTAATTAATAAAAAATATCTAAAGTTTAATTAATTTTAATATTTAGGAAAATACTAATTAATAAATAAAATATCAAAATTAATTATTTATTAGAAAACTTAAACCTAATTTATTAGGGTTTTTTAAAAAAAGATTAAAATTTATTAAGGGTTAATTAAGAAAATAATTAGGAAAAAGGAAAAAATTCGGGTTAGAAAATCAAAGAAATTAGGTAAAATAAGAAAAAGAGTAAAACTCCATGGGGTGGGTGTTGAACCCACACCCTCCTGCCTTCATCCTACATCGTTTACCACCGGGTCAAGCGCTTTTTGGTGTTATGAGATAAGCGTTGCACATTATATTAGAAACCTGTGTAAATTAGAAAATAATAAAAAAAGATGGTGACGCGCAGAATCGAACACACGCCCTTTGAGGTAAAAAGTGAATTTGTACGCGTGCTTGCCACTGGGGTGGCTGTTACATCCGGTTATCAAACGAGACAAAATAAATATATATAAAATATAATCAATGTACCAGAGAAGCGCTGGAGCCCTAGCTCCGGTCGTCTTCTCCAGCGAGCTTGTTTCTTCAACCTGTAAAATAACACACGTTAGAGAGTGAAAAGAATCCCACCCTCTAATTTGAGGGATGCGAACTCATTGATGACCTTAGTTTTTGCTAAATCGTACTGTATAAAGAAATATAGTCAAAATAATGTAAATCGGTGTAAGAATGATGGTGCACGATTTTGGTCTCATGGGCCTCATACAATGGGTCAAACCTGCATTACTTTGTCTCAGGAACACAATAAAATCATTAGTTTACATCAAAGCATTACGAAAATTAAAACACGAAATTCATGAAAATATGGAAATCGGCCATGTATGGAATGCACGTTTTAGGAACTTCTGATCATCGAGAGTGATCAAGGCTTACTCTATAACACCTCAGGAGTTGATTTGACCAGATGGTTTTCTTTGAGAAGAGATGGAAATAGGATTTTAAGTTTGCCCTAGTTTGACAAAAATTGATATTTTAAGAGAATGTTCTTGCCGTTTTTTTTTTCGTCCTTTGAGTGAATGAATGAGTTGTGCTTATATAGAGGAAGAAATTAGGTTAAGACATGGGTTTGGACCTCATGTAAAACAATCTTTTGATTTTGTTTGAAAATAGGTTAGGATGAGACAAAACCATGAAGATTTATTTCAATAATAATTCCACACAGCCTCTAATGTAATCTTGGGCCTCCAAAATATTTGAACCAATAGCCTTTTATACCTCCACTTAACATTTATTTGATTTAATTTGCATTTAAATGAATAAAAATTCAAATAAAAGAAATAAAAATCATAAAAAATATAAGAATGGTTTTAGGGGTCCCCTAGTATGTCATGAACACGTTTGAACTTCAAAAGTTAGGCTCATTAGTCCAAAAGCCCAAAATTGTTCAATTAAGGTTTCATGCAATTTCACAAAATTACCAACTTTTGAAATTCATAACTTGCTCAATTTTTGTCATATGAAAGTGATCTTGGACTTTTTGGAAATCTTAAGATGTCCCCTGGAATTTTTATGTTGGTCATTTTTCCATTTGAAGATTTTATCTTGATGTAAATAGCTTTGACAAAAAGTGTCTTTTTGTTGACTTTTAAAATGACATGTAATGTTTTGGCTCATAACTCTCAAATGAAGCATTTTTGGCCTTGAGCTTGTAGGGACAAAGTTGTATAGAATTGAATTTCCATCATAATAGGCTTTGGTTAAGAATTTTCTGATGAAGCATGTGAAAGTTATGCTTAGTCAAAGTTCAGTTGACTTTTCCTAAAGAAAACCCTAATTTAGCAACTTTTGACTTTTGATTAATCTTGAGTTTTCTCAATGAATCATGACCAATCCTTGATCAAATGATGAATATGAGTTCAAAATGTTGATGTTGACCAAAAATCTTGAAATTTGACTGTATGTTGACCATTGTTGACTTTTTGTCCAATATAGTTGATTTTCACTTATCTGGGCAATTGACTGAGCAAATTTGTGATATAAGGCTTGAAACTTGACATGAGGATTCTTTGAAGCATACGAGGAACCATGAAACTCACTTGAGGCATTAAAAGTCCAATTTTCTTTGAGAAAATAAAAACCCTAGTTGTAGGCCATTGCTTAGTATGAGGATTCATCTGATCAATTTTTTAGTAGTCTTGAGCACTTGAGAAACCTTAAAAGCATGAGAAGATGTAATACGGTGGGAGAACTGACTTGGGTTATTTTGCTTTTGATCGTAAAGGTTAGCAAGAGTCGCCACTGAATTTTATTTTATCCAAAAGGAAAGGTGGAAAAGAACAGGAAAGACCTTTGAGATTACTTC